ACAGCAGCCCGGAAATGTCTGGCCAGAAATCCCTGCAAGATCGAAATTTCATCCTCCTTGTAAAATACAGGATGCAAAAGTTCCTCAGGAAAGGAAGCCTAAGTCACACTCCTGTATTCAATTCTACATTTACCTCCAAGGGAGGTCTGCAACCCAGTATTTCACTGTCAGTGGCAGGAAACCATGCAAAATGTTTCAGCAGGAGGATTCTGGTATCCTTTGGGTATCCTCCTAGCTTTCCTGAGGCTGTCACCTTCAGTGCATGCACCTACATCTGTCCAGGGTGCTCAGGAGTGTGCCTGGGCTCCCAGGTTGGGATGCTCACCCTAGCCGTACCCTAACTCCAAGCACAAAGGCAAACATGAGCACCCCAATTCCATCTCCCAGCGGCAGGGGTGTCAGGGTGGGCAGTGAGGTGTCCCCACCAGCCCTGAGCAGCTCCACAGTGCAGACACAGCCATTGCTGCTCCTGCCCAAAAGAGCTCACAGCCCAGCAGGGGAGAGCCCGTGGTTCCACATGGAACACAGATAATGTGTTGTATTTGCTTGTGGTGACGTTTTCCTTTCAACCTCGCACCGCTAAGCACAAAAGCCAATGATGAAATAAATCACTGGAGCACTGTATTGATCCTTGAATGATGATTACATAAAGAAAATTGTAAATGCTTTGGTGTGTATTAAATAATCCCTCTCTGGCACCTATTATGCGTGCTGCAGCCATGCCTTTAAATTCATTTACGCAGCTTCTTTTGAGGAAAGACATCCAAATTTTCCCCTCAGCCTATTCCACTCACTTTACACAGTGGAATACGTGCAAAGGAAGGACAGAAGCAGAGGAAAGAGGGAAATTGATTGCTGCCAGCCTGGTAGGGAAACGCTAACCTTGCAGGCAGGAGACAAACAGCAGAGTCATCTGCAACATGCAAACCAGCTTCTTCATTTCCATAGTGAGGCACAGGAAGTGCCCTTCAGAATTTTTCAAAGCTATAACAGCTATAAAGAAGTTGTCTTTAGTGGGACCCTGTGGACAAAAGCGAATTCAAAAAATAAATACAAAGATTAAATGTGTGAGCCAAGCATTTCTTTACAAACTATGGTGGGTTCACAGAACACAGATGGCAGACCACTCACCAGTCCCTATATGCAACCTCAAGAGAACATTTTCAGTTATCAGAGATGCTAAAAATGCCTCCACTTCAGTATCCCACCCTCACCCCTGCCCTCTCCTGTCTCTCCCTCTGCCCTATCCCGCATTTGTAAGTCACTCTCAGAAGACTTTGTACCCAGCTAAAATTTCTATCACACTGTATCGAATGGGACTTGCTTGAACCAGGACTGCGGTGCCGGGCCTATTTCTCAATGAAATTATATAGCCGAGATTCATTTGAAAAGGTTCGGCTCAGCTCGACCCGGATCGCACGAAGATGCAGCGGCTTTACACCTGCTACCGCATCCAGCACAGCCAGGGCACGGCTGTGCCAGGGCAGAGTGTGACACCGACAGCAGAGCCCCGCTTACCCCCTCCCCGGGCACGGCTGCCAGCCCGCCCCAGCCACCCCGCAGCCTCATCCCGGCACCCCCGGTAAGAGCGGCAACTGCTCCCGGAGGAGCCCGCCTCACAGTAACTTTAATATCTTTTTCGTGAGCACCGAAAGGGGAAAATAATAATAATAACAATAATAACAATAATAACAATAATAACAATAATAACAATAATAACAATAATTACAATAATAATAATAATAATAATAATAATAATAATAATAATAATAATAATAATAATAGTAAGGACCACCATCACCACCTCCTCCATCCAGAAGCACAGCTACAGACGATAGTTAGCAGCCAGGAGCGGCGCAGCAACAGGCGATGCCGGGCCGGGGGGCGGGCGCGCTCCCGCAGCCGCAGCCCCTCCGCCCGCTCCCACCGGCGCCGCCGCCCGGGCCCCGCCCAGCCCCTGCGGACACGCCCCGGACACGCCCCGGACACGCCCCGGACACGCCCCGGACACGCCCCGGACACGCCCCGGACACGCCCCGGACACGCCCCGGACACGCCCCCTCGCCGGGAGCGTCCCCGAGGCCAGCCTGGGGTGTGACACTGGGCAGTCACCGCGTGGCTCGGTGAAACCCGCTGTTAAAGGGTACCTGAGTGAGGGGTTCTGCTGCAAGCTGGTACACAGAACAGTGTGTATCGCACAGAACAGGTGCTTTCTGCTCATCAGTGTTAGCCCGGTTTTGATACCGTGCAGCAGAAGGTTCCTGGTACTTGTGCATGGTTAGAGTATAATACAGCTGTGTCCAGGTTTCTCTTGATCCTCATATGTTTGCCGGGAATTGTTTTCCCCCCTTCTTCAGTCCCTGGCTTTGCTCTTCTCCCACAGTGAGGAGCAACCTGGCAGGGCTCCTGAACATCCTTCCTTTGCTCCTGCATCCTTCACCACGCTCAATTTCCTCACTACCAGTTTTCTGTTCTCCCTTCTGCAGCACTGATGACCTTGGTGGCTCAACTGCCTGGTGCCCTGAACTAAATTGCACCCACAGCAGCAACTACAGACATGTTTTTGTGGCACCAAGGTAATGGGTTCAATCCCTGTACGGGCCCCTTCCAACTCAGAATATTCTGTGATTCTCGTCTGGTTTCATTTTGATTTTTAAATAAAATCCCACCAGATACAATGGTCAGCTTTATCTCATGAGAAAATCATGTTCCCTCTCCCTCCGACGTGCTTTTATGCTTTCTCTCTCTAGCAGCTTGAACACCTCTGTTTTTCCTCCCTGCCAGAAGCACTAGTGTTTCTTGTCTACTTTGCTTTTCCTCCACTCCCCCCTCTGAGTCTCCTATTTTTTTCTCATCAGCCTCTATAACTTCATTTTTCCACTTGTGTTTTCACCTCCTTCCCTGTCTCTGAGCTGTGCTGTGTACACTCACTTCAGGAATTCTTCCACTCCACTTCCATCCTAGGCCCTCATTTCTCTCCAGTCTGTCTTCCCCTTGGAATTTTGCAGGCAGTGCTCCTTTGGCATTGGTAACTTAACCAATTCTGCAACCATTCCTCACCACCCTTGATCTGTCAGCCACTTTCAGCAGAGGTTACCTAAAATGAGAGAAAACAAGCACACTTATCTTTAGATGTGTGCCCTAATCAAGTGTGTACTCTGTGTCTTGGTTTTTATCCGTGTTGGATGGAGGCCCAGAGGTTGCCCAGAAAGTCGTGGTGTCTCCATCCTTCAGCACAGATCTGAGTAACCTGCTCAGAGCTTATAGTTCAACCCTGCTGTGAGCAGGAGCTTGGACTAGAGACCTCCTGAGGGATCTTCCAAGCTGAATTACTCCCTGTGCAGTATCTGTGTGGCAGGTGCCAGAAATGTTATCCTGAAGAGGAAAAGACTGGAATGCTAAGCTGGAGTTTATCAAGTACAAGCATAATTATAGAGTGTTTTGCTCCTGTTCCTCAAATTCAACTTCTTTGGCTCTTTAAGAGGTCTTGGAGTGGGGGAGGGAGGAGAGTTATAGTTGTTACTGGTTTGTTTGGTGTTTGTTGGTTTGGGGTTTTTTTTAGATATTATATATTCTTCATTCTGTGCCTCCAGTCTATTGCAAGGATACTGTCCCCAGCCTCTGGTTAACATCAGGAACCATTTTTGTGTTGTTGTACCTCATCTTGTTGTGATGTTTGTCCATTTATTCAAACTCAGCAGGGCTGTAATTGAACTCCAGACTTCCTTTTTAAACTTCCCCCATTTCTTCCTTTCCCCAGCCCCTTGTTTAAGCGCCATTCAAGCCCAGCAGCAAAGTGTCAAGTCTGAACTCATTATTCACACCGGGACTGTCTTTTTTCTTTTCATCACAGTATTTGTTTTATTTTACATCACAGTTTTATATAATGCTGCACTTCATTTAAATTAACCTTGTCCACGTGCAAAATTGCGCTGAAGTCTCAAGTTTATCTACTTTCAAATCAAATTACCGGAGAAAAAAAAATTGCCTAGAGGTGTCCTTGCTTCTAGGTGTATGCAACAGTTTTCTTAATATTTGTAAATTTTTCTGTAAGCTATTAGCTTCTGGTGGCACTTTCAGTTTCTCTTCAATGTCACCTTCATCGGTGCTTTCTCTTCTGTGTTGTCCTTCTGATCCCCAGTTCTTTAGGACTGAGTCTTTATACTGTACAATGTCAAAGATGTTTCCAGCTCTACAGGGAAAAAAACCTAACCAACACATTCTGCAATTTAGGATATAGATAGTCTTGAAAATTACAGTGACTCAGAGATTTGCTAAAATTGACTACTAATAAGAGGATTTCTGAAACCAAATCAGAGATTCTTTGATTGAAATCAGTGTCATTATATGCATTCATAAACTAATAGGAAACTAGAAAGAAGAATAAAATTACTACTTGCAGATTTGGCTTTTTCCCAGGGTTACTAGTTGCTCTTATTGAAACTGTTTATCCAGCAGAAAGCTGTTTCTGGGAGCTTTCACAACGGCTGGCATGGGGCATTTCTCTATTTTACTGTTCCTCCTTTGGCTGAGGGACTAAAATCTCTAATTGCCTCACCTTTTGTGACAGAGGTCATAGATCTGTAGAATAATAAATCATAGAATTATAGAATATCTTGAAGGGACACACATGGATCATCAAAGTCCAACTCATGGCCCCGCACAGGACCACCCCAAGTGCTGAATAACATTCTTTAATGCAAGCATTTGAAGCTAATAGAATTGGTTTGGGGTTGTTTGCTGTTTTTTAAAAGAATTAGTGTCACTGATTTATATCCTGAAACACTAATGATAACTAGAAAAACTTAAATCTGTCACTAAGAGAACAAATCCCCTTTTTGGCTGCTTCTCATCTTTTATCACCAGCTTTATCTAGGCAGGCATTCATAGGTCAGCACCTTAAACTAGAGGAGATTATTTCTCTTGCTTTGCATTGTGAGATTTGCTCTGATTTTTGAAATATCTTCATTTATCTGTCAGGAACAAAGGCTAAGAGGGCAATGGCTGAGCAACCAAAACTGCTCCACAGACTTCTGCTTCCTAAGCTGCTGTCTAAACTGTCTACACCAAGGGAGAATGTTGACAAAGGTAAACTGCACAGGCAGTTTCTGTGGTGAATACTTACAAATGCCAGGTGTTCTCTCAAATTAACACAGAAGAAGACAGATTGGCAGTTCACCCACCAATGCAAAGCAGTGTGAATGAGCCTGCAGTATGACCCATAGGACCTGCGTCTCTTTGGGAGGCTCTTCGTGTAAACTGGGGAAGAGTCCTCTTGGCAGGTCCTGGAAGCTGAGCCTTCCACCTATCAGATTTGAATACTATCCGCTGGATAATTGAGGTGTTCCCCTTAGCTCATCAGAAAATATGAGACATAACATGAAAAACTGCTGGTGTCAAGAAAAATAAAATTGGATCACACGGAGTCAGACCATAGGGGAAGTGAGATATAGCTTGGATTCAGATAAAATGGAAAAAAATGACATTTTGGGGGATGGTCATGCTCTTGTCAGAATATACAATCCTGTGAAAAGAAATATCTTGGCTTATATTATTTTACAGGCATCAGGGATTTCTAATTAAAACAAAGGACTTGCCGTGCAGTATGCTTCAGAAATATGCCTGGCATTTTGTGTGCTTCTTATATAAGTGAATGAAAAGCTCTTTCCAGTTTATATAAAGTAGCTATTCATTAAATATTTAAGGACTAACCTTTAAAAATAAATGCTAAAAACAATAATATTATCTCTAATTATAACATTTTTAACCTAAGTAATATATAATTGAGATGGAAACTAGGCACCACTCCTGAAAACAGATCTGTAGAGAAGAACCCTGGCATCTGTGCAGGTTCACTGACTTCTGTCAACAACCTCAGGCCCCAGGAGCCACTGTAAAAAAAATAGATCTCATAAATTTTACAATTTTTTTTTTTTACAGATCAGCACAGTAGAATAAAGTTGTAGCATAGAAAAACAATATATCTGCTCCAGTGTAGTTGAAGCTGCAAAGCTCACCTGAGCATACCTTCAGGGGCAGAGGAGAGACCCAATCTTGACCAATCCAAAGCAGACAGAGGTTTTCCCCACCCATAATTCTTTTTTTTTTTCCTTTTTCTTCTGGTGCTGGAACTCCCCTTGCCTATACTATAACTATAACTTTTGGCCCTTCCTGATGAGGTGGAACAACTGCATGTTATAGGTGGAGTTTTGGTGACTGCAGTCATAAATATAAGGCATGTTCACTTTCCATTTGCATTCTTAGGGGAGCAAAAGTTTACATGCAAATAATGAGGGCATTTGTTACTTCCAGTCAGAATTTACAGTTGCCACCAGAGGTAGAAAGAACATTTGGGTCATCCTCCACCTGCTGAGGCAGCTGTAAAGGCTGTCTGACCTCTGTCAGAGGTCACTCCAGGCATTGTTTCATTGGCAGCCCTTGCTTGAGCCAGGCTCTAGGTAAGCAAGGGGCCCAGCTCAAGTTTGTCTCAACCAGCTTCATCAGCTCTTCATAGACTTAAAGCAAGTCTGACAATTTAGCACATTATCCACCTCGTGACCACAGGCGTGCAAACAACACCTATAAAAAGCATAAGGAATTCTGTGAAGCTGCCTGTGACTGAAGTTCTGTGAAGTGTCTGATCCTGCAGTCACTGTTGAGACAATTTCTAGAAAACAATTCCCTTGTTCCTTCCACAATTCCCTGTTCCTTGACCATGACTGACCTCACTTTTGCAATCACACTTTAAACATGTCTCTTCCATGGTGCTTTTTTTATATGGGATTTTCCTAATTTGCCTTTCCCATTCAGTAGGAGTAGCATGAGGTCTAGGTGATACATGGAACACTGTGGAGCATGAGGGGAGGGGAACACTCACCAAAGGAGCCCCATCTACTTCTCAGGTGAAAGATCTCATTGCACTGGCACATGACGGCTTGCAAATGGATTCAGGATCTCTGAACAGAGACTTGTCAGTGGTACAAATAGCCATATTTCACACACAGGAGAACAAACACTGTTCATTCATTCTTCATTAAACTCAAAAGGTACCTCTGAAAACCTGTCCTTCCTGCTTCTGAGCCAACTCTTCTACTGGATACAACACATCATTCAGTACAGTGTGTAGGAGAACTGCACTTGTGTTGAAAAAAAAGACTAACATATTTTGTGATTGGCAGCACTGAGATGCTTAATTGTTGGTGCATATTCTCTGGACAAGAAAAATGCATATAGGGCATGGAGAATTTCTCACATGATCTTTTTGTCACAAAGGATGCCAGAGGATGCCTCATTATAAATGTCTTTTTTCTCTTATCTTCAGCAGGAAGGCTTTTTGGACAGCTATCCTGCTAGAGCAGTGAAGAGTACAAATAATGAAAATGGAAAAGAAGGGTCTGGCAGTTGTCAAGGGCTGGTCAGGCAAACAGACATTTCCCTCAGCAATGAACATGTATTTCAGAGTCTCTTCAAAATCCAACGTAAAATACAACCCAGACTTCATCAGATTTGCCATGGTCAAGTGCAAATCCAACTCAAATCCAACTTCTTCAGACACAGCTGAAGCCTGGCAATGCACAGCCTGTTTGACCACATTTATTCTTGTTTTATATGCTTCCAAAAGAGGTATGCCTATCTGCTTAGCCAAGATAACATCCATGGGCAAATACACTTGCAGCCCATAACTACAGGTTTGCATGAATTGACAAGAGGTTTGATTCCCTCCAAAGCAAGTTTCCCAAGAGACCAGAATGATGATAGGTACTTCCCAAATCTAGTTCATAAGAATAACAATCCTGGGTGTTGGTCTTTGCCAGGCACAGCTGCAAGCCTTCCTGTCTACATAGGCAGCAAAATGTCAAACCAACTACTTTGAATGGTGCTGACATAACTGGGGTTGAATTACAATTTCACAATAGGTGCAGTGCTGGGCAAGTGCCATGAAAATTATGCAGGATGCATCAGAAAGAAGATGAGACACAGTAAAGGTACAGAGGAAATGGCAAAAGGGGGTGAGACAAAAGAAAGAATAAATAAACAGTGGAAAATTTAAGGCAAGACTACTACAGAAAAAAAAACTACGTAAATCAGTTATCCCTACAGCTACTCTAATATTAAGTTAATATTAGTTTTAAATCATTCTAAGCACTTCATTTTCAGTGGAAGGGTAAGAAATACAAGACCACTTTTCTGTCAATGAGGTTACAATTCCAAAAGATACTTTAAATGAAAGCTGCTATTGACTCTTGAACACAGCAACATGAGCAATGCATCTTTAAGGAATATACCCTGAAGGCTAAAAGCAATTTTCTGCTACAAGAAGCAACACAACACTTCCACTTGGGACCTAGACATCAGTTTTTCCTCAGACTATCTTGTTCATACTACATCTCTTGAATGTTTCACAGCTACCAGTGAGAATGTCTGAATTGGATTTTCATTTTTTCTGGAAATGTTTTTTCATCTTTACAGCCACATGTTGTGGATTTTTGTTTACACAAAGAAGGATTTTCATTTAGGTTTTTAATTTTAATTAAATACAGACAATGCTTGCTTACTCTGACTATAGTTATCTGTTGCTGTTACTACCCTGGGAAATCTTCAGCACTGAAGCACTGTTTTCCTTGCAAAGCAGATGCCAGGGATATAAGAAAATTCTGAACTCCAATGCAATACATAACTTCTCTTTCATTATAGCCATCTTCATTATTTACACTCACCTATGTCTTTATTATAACCCTTAGATTTTGTCATATATATTGGAACCCTTAGATTTATATTTGATAATACTACAGGGATTAATAGGTAGCGTACGTTGCCTAGATACACTTAATTGTGTGTCTGTTGTGAAAATGATTAAGTTCTGGTTTATATAGAACTAGATGGCAGATTATATATATTAAAGTGTATTTGAAATTATATAATGTAATAGTTAAATATTATCTCAGGATCTATGCAGTTTGAGACAGTGCATGTAACAATAAGAATGCAGAATCAGTGTTCTCCTGTCAGAGTTTGTATAAAGCTTCCTACAGCTAGAAATTAGCTGTTAGAAGCTAACATTAGTTAGAAATGAAATTATGAATTTGATAAAAGAGCAACAAGCTGAAGAAGAGTTTCTGTGCCTGGGTTTTGGAAATGTTTTGGATTGCATGTTTGAATGGTTTGGATCCTCTCTAAAGGATGACTATAGTCCAGGACTTGACTAGCTGAGTGAATATATCCAGTATGCCTTAGGAAGGTTACAGAGGGAGGTCTTAAAACAGTTGAACAGCATGGGAGAGTGGTACTTTATGAAGCTGATTCAATTTATATGTCTCTTTTGGGCCTACTTTTTGTTTCATCTTCCAGACTTGACCCCTTTAATGGTTACCTTTGTCTGCCTTAATCTGTCATTCAAGAACTTACTCTTCTTTCCTATACAGGTGTGTGCTGCTTATTTTCCATATCTTCACAGAAGTCATGTAAAGCTGAAATTTTACAGTTTAGTAATAGATGTAAAGCTTTTGCCTGGGCAAAGACTATCTTTGGACAACAGAGTTGTAGATTCAGGCTGGAAGGGAGTTCTGACCAAACCCCACCCAGAGCAGCACCAGTTTAGACCTTCAGATATCTCCCTCAGGAGCACAGGACTCTTGACCTAAAGAAATAATCCAGTATTTTCCCAAACTTCTTAAAAATGTGATCCTCACCCTCTCTGCTTTTCTGATTCATCATGTGTATAGAGCCAATTATATAAGACTATAAAATGTTAGAAAAGTTACTTAAATTAAGGTACTTCTAGCAGACCTCTGTTTTGAAAACTTTCAGTACTTCTTTTGTGAGCTGCAGAGCAGGACTAGATGACTTCCAGAGGTCCCCTTCAGTCTGTACTTTTCTGACTCCATGATTCTCTGTCATTTCTAATTTAATTTCTAATTCATCATTCTATTTTATTTCTTTGTAGGTTGTTTTTATTAGAAGATCTCTAGTATTTGGATGTTGCCTATGATGATACTAACTTTATTCCTAATGACATCAAGAACCTCAGGTACATTAACAATGGAAAATGAAAACAGATCTGTATATCATAATGCTCTGGACCATACTTGGATATTAATTGTGCCACTGAGTAAGTTTGAAAGATTCACTGTCCCCTCTCCCCCTTCTTAATCCTGTCCTATGGGAAAGTCTCATTGAAACAGAAACAGTAGATGGTAATTGCAAACCAGGAGCAGCTATGGGTAGTGTAGACCCAGCCACTCTTTGCAAGAATCTTGACGATAAGTTGAATATTCCTGTGCAAAATATGATCATTCCCTCAATTGACCATATGTGTTCACATACTCTTGATTTATATGATAAGGAAAGAGAAGATGTATATATAAACCGTGTATGGGGTTTTTTTAAGCAGTGTGAAGTGTTGGTGAGATAAAAATTTAAATGGGGACCCACCCAATAGAACCTGTAGAAAAAAAAAATATTCATATGAGACTTTTTCTTTGCTGACCTTAATGTCGATGCTATCTGTATATATATGTCTAATACATTCAGATGCCCACATTCCTGTTTTTCCAGATAACCCAGGTATTTAAACTGTCATTAGAAATGTACTGTACATACAATTGTGTCTAGAACTTAAAGTGCACTATGAAAAACACATAGCATTTTTTATGTACATACCAGATTGGTTTATTAATTCACCAAATAGGAATTAGGACAACAGTAATGTGGTCAAGGCTGGATATGGTGTGAAGAGCCTAAAAAAGCCTAGTGATATCTCAAGTTACTTAAAAATTGTGTGTTTGAACTCTGCAAAGAACCAACCCTCTTCTTTGCCAAGATTTTGAATCTTCCACTAAAATTCCTCCAATCAAAAAATAGCTTCATACACCCTTTGTTCCAGAATAATAATATGCAGAATTAGCCCAAAAAGCTCACTCATGTGGCTGCTATTTACTTCTCCAGAGAAAATACTTCTCCAAAAAGAAAAATGCCTAGATATTAAAGACAGAAAACAAAAAAAAAAATATTGGATGAGTAATACAGAAATATGTCCTATTTCCTTGCCTCCCCCAAGAAGTATTGTGAGCAAGAGATGACCCCCAGTCAAAAATTGTACAGGTATTAGGAGAGTGGAAGTTCATGAGTGGTCCATTCTTTCACATGAAATGAATGTTGATCAGAGGTGGCCATTGCACAATATGGGTTATGTCATGGTTTGCTCAAATCCAGATATCAAGTGTAACGGAATGACCGTGAAGCCACTTTTAAGGGAGATTTATCAGGCATGCAAATATTTCCTTGTATCTGAGGTTCCTAGGATTTTACACTGCCACCTGTCCTCCAAACAAATGTGTGTTACCTCTTCATGTTGTGGCCGTGTGTCAAGCCAGTCTGTTCAGAGCAGGGATGGACCTGAGGCTCACAGCTGAGATGAAATTATGTCAGCTCCATTTCTGGGAATTGCAGAATCATTTTCTCCCCTCTTTCTTCACCTCACTCCACTGTACAGCACATCTTTCTATTTTTGGCATGCCTGCCTCCTTCCCCACGGGAGCCATGCAGACTCTGCATTAAGGCCAGAGTAATTACTTCTCTGCAGTGGTGTGGGCCTACGCTGAAGCGGAGCTGGAACTTTTAAGCACCTTCTCTAGTGATGAACCACAGCCATTTTGAGGCCAGATAATTTCTTTAATCTGCATTTGTGAGTGAGGAGGTTGAGCTGCTGTGGCTGTGTGCACATACTTTTAGAAGGATGACGCAAAGTTTATGACCCAGTTTGTTCTCCACCATAGTTTTACTGCCTGTGATTGCTGCAGTGGACCTTGATATGGCAAAGGACTTCAGCTCATCATTACAGGAACATACTTAGATTTGGAAGACTTCCCTTTTGTTTCCATGCTTGCTCATCATTATAGTACAGAAACCTCATGTCTCAGACTGAGCCTTGTCTCCTATGCCTTGTGGAAAGTGATCTGGATTGCAGCAGAGGAACTGTGAATGGGATAAAATAGTTAAGAAATGCAAGATCTCATGTTATGTTATTCTGTTGTACAACCTGGGACTCAGCTGGAGCAGTGATGGTATCAGTGCTTTCAACTCTGAAAGGTCTGTTTGGTATCAATGTATATATAGTTGAATCAAAATGAAAGGCAGATTCATCCATATGTAAAATCAATGAAGTTATATGCTGACCCTGTGTTTCCTCCAGTGATACTTGGAGAGGGATCAGATTTTTTTGCTCTGCCAGCACTATGTCATTTTACATCATACGGCTCATCATTGCTTTTAAAAAAAAAATAAAAAAAATATATAACTTTATTCCTGGACCACAAATTACATACAGGACCTATTCATCAAAACTGCAATGTTTTTGCAAGCTATAGAAGGTCTTGCAAATAAATCTTGGTATTTCTTGTAAACACATTTTGTTTACTGTAGGAAGAAAACCTGTATTTTTAATGAGTTGCAGTCCCCAAAGCTGAAATGTCTGATGTTTTTCTAAACACTAAGACTTCAAACAAACAAAACCACATTGCCTAAGTGCCTTAGATAGCCTGCAACAGAACAGGGATCAGAGCTCCAACTTCTGATTTGCCACCTCTTAACCACCATACTGCTCAGTAAGGGCTTAGTTGGCTCTTCCTGTTGTTTCCCACATGGTATCTGTACCAGTGATACAGCATACAAACATAGTGAGACTCAAATGCTTCTTTAATTTTAAAAAATCAATCCCCTCTGATTTTATTACAATTCACTTAACAAGACAGATGATTATTAAGTGTGATGTATTTTCACATCTTTGGTTAAATTACAAAATTCAGCATTTTTTCACAGCTACAATTGAAGGGGTTTGTTCTGATCTCTGTAACAAACATTGTACTTTTTCCTATTCCAAGGCAAACATTTTCTATATGGAAGGATTTATACCATAGGTGTGTAACAGACTTTGGGCCCTGATGCACTGAATCCAGTGCCTGAGTCTTCCCTGGCTGTGGAGCACTCGCAGCTACAACCTGGACTGTACAGGAGAAAGGGACTTCCCAGTATGACCCTATGGGACTTGCCCAAACCTGGTGTTTTCATAACCTTCAGCTGGAAGTGCCTTGGTTTTGCTGTGTCTCTTGATTGTCAATAATGTAAATTGTCTTAAAAGTCAATATTTGACTAGAGGCTGGAAAGTCTGGAAATGCCTTTTCACAAGTGCTGGATACACAGCACGATAAAGGCAGATGGGACTCTGAGAGAGAAGAGGGAAATGCTAAGGGAGAGATGAAAAACTGATGACACAGGCCTTCTTTGTATCCAAGCACTCCTATGCACAGAGGTACACCTCTGTCCCAGTGATGGGACAGATTATATGTCCCAAATCGTTGCTGGATAAATTGCATCGGTAACATCAAGGACAGAGCTCTACACATGGGCCTCCTGCTTGTATAAGAATTGGGCCACAAAGGCAGGTCAGCCTTCTGCACTGCCTGTCTCTCTGGCCCCATGAATCTTGCATGCCTGATGATGACTGTGTAGCCTTAGTAGCCCCCATTTCTCTCCCCATCAGCCCTTCTTCTTTCCCCCACACATCACTTTTTTCTTTCTGACCTGTGGCTGGTGAGCCCTGCTCCACTATGGTTACAAGGAGTGAAACCACCTCAGCCCCAGCCAAAGGAGGAATGCTTTTCACATCCTGGTGAGTGCTCCAACCTCCACTCAGCTGTGCAGACACTGTTTCCCCTCCTCCTCCTCAAACTCGAGCAAACTCAGTGTTGTCCTTGTCCCACAGAACAGTGACCCACCTGTGTGTGCAGCAGTGAGTCTTCAAGTCCCTTGAGGAGCTGCAAGGACAATTTAGGTGTCTGTGGACAAAGGCCAAACCAAGGATGCTGTAAGGCTTCAGCTTGTTAGCACACCCAAAATCTTGTTTCTGTGGAGCTGAAGGATGGAAGTAACTTAGTGACTCTTTCTCCTCTTGCTGTACTAATCACAGTAAAAACTCAGCTGCTTGTTTCTGCTGGGATTTTCACTGGAGTCATTAATCTCAGTACAGGTACCCAGCTACAGGCTGCCAGAAATAGGGATAGACAGCAGTGGGGACTGGGAGTGAAATTAGAGACTTTTGAATGCAGAAGCAGAAAATGATGTAGCAGAAAGAGAACTGCAAGAGGAAATTCAGTGGTTTAACAGAACTCATGGGCATTACAGTGAAGAGAAAAAACCTGAAGGAGTTTTTGCAAATGATAATAAGGATTATTCAAACACAGAAAACAGAGAACTGTGTCGCTTGCAAGATTGCCATTGGCTAAGTATTAAAGCTTCACATACAGAGAAGAATGCCTAGTATTGAAATTCCACAGCAGTTTCAATGCCTACCATGGAACAGGTAGTCTGAATAACCACTCCATGATTTTGAGAGGAACAGAAAAGAAAAAGCTCCATGGTTCAGAAAGAATTTTCTTGTTCTTTAAAGTCGTTTGGGATTGATGTCATTCCAGAAGATCTGAGCATGCTGAGGAATGTGTGGCTGAAATTCCAAATAACCCAGAAACTAGCAAGATGCCCAGTAAAATTAACAGTGACCTTTGGCTTTGTCTCACCTGTTGCTGGCTGCTCATGGTGAGGAAAATGAACTCTGCACTGCAGAGTACAGTACAGAGCACAAAGTACAGCAGGTGCTTCTGCAAAGGGGCGTGCAGGCATAGATGAACACAGACATGTGTGACCTTCTGTGCTCTGGGTTTGGAGTTGGCTGGCAGAGAAGGAGCTGTGAGCTGCAGTGACATTTTCCTCCATGCTACTGGAGTAGTAGTAGTAGTAGTAGTGGTGGGAGTAGTAGTAAGAATATCTCAAGTGCAGCACTGCTTCACTCTCTACCTTCTTAGTGAGAGTTTGGGCTGTGCCAGGCACAGGGAGGAACCACCACGTGTCAGATCCTGCCTGAGCAGATATGCTTTTAGGGAACAGTAGTCCTGTGTCTTCCAAAGGAAAAAAAACGTTCCCTAACACTGAGCTGCTCTAGGGATAACTTTAAAAATTTTATTCCTTTATTTTAGGAACGGCTGTAAAGCTTTCCAGGATTAATAGTCTCCAGACTGAAAGAGTTCCAAATGCATTCAGGATTTCTGGCCCAGGCTCCCGGCCTCTGTGCCAGGCTCCAGGGGCGGAGGGATGTACCCTGCATTGCTAACGTGGCAGCAGCAGAGAGAGCTGGCATTCAGTGCGTCTTTCCCAAAACGTGAATAATACGAGGAATTAAGGGAATATAGGAATAGAAGTGGGCAAGCTTGGAGGAATGAGAAGGTGCCAAGCTGGATGTGAGCACATGGTACAGCTGTGTCCTGCAGCCGCTGGAGCTGCTGGGGGTGTGGGCATCGCTTCCTCGGGGGGATCCTTCGCTCGTCCCGGGCTTGGTGCGGCTCTGCAGACCCCCCTTAGGAGCAGAGAGCAGTACGAGCACAGCAGTGCAGCCCGGCTGAGGTCAGCACTCCGGTTCTGCCCCTGGTTCTGGGCAGGGTTTGCAGCTTGTGTGGCTCCAGCTATACCGAGGCGTGTTTGCTGAGCCGCGTTTGTCTGTCTGTCCTCGCCGTCCCACCGCAGCCGTGTACAGCCAGCCCCCTCTAGTGGCACTTGTCCCGCCAGGTTAGGATGCTTCTTGAGACTGGACTCGGGTTTCATTCTTTTTTAAGTTTTCTACTACATTATACAGCATGGTGCGACGAGATAGTGACATAGAATCACAAATTCAGAGAGATTTAAGCTGTTTGACTCGCCCGCAGTCTCTCTTACCTTGCATATGGAGTAATTCACCAGCAGAAGTTTCTGTGGTGGAGTGAAATGAAAATCATCATCAAAGCTGCTGCTTGGGAATACACAGCTCTTCAGTTCAGCACTAATGCTTCTCTCATCTCCTCTGTGAAAGCCTTCGAACCTCATTTGCCTTCTTCTTCATCCAGGCCACTCCCCAACCCCCCCCATTTACATCTTTAAAATACAAAGCTAGTGTTAGACGACATCCATCTCCTGAAACTAAACTTGAGCATTTTACTAGCAGTATTTATTGCAGTGTAGCTTAGGGCACCTGACCCACATGCTGGACCATAGACATCATATTTTGCATGTGATGGCCTACATAGAGAGCTCATGCTTAAACAGAAGATTGGAAAAGATTAAAATTGCAGCCAGTTTGTGCTGGGGACCTCAGTTTGATTTTTCCACTAACTCACGATTTTGAAATTGTGTACTCTGGAGGCAGAGGACAAAGTTTTGATGAGTTTAAAAGTTGTTTCTTTTCTTGTTTTATCAGAAGATCACTAAAAATACAGTTCTGACTTTCACATCATGTTTAGATAGTGCAGAAATTACTTGCTACTGGGTGATAAATACACAGCATTCTTGCTTCTCAGATGTGGCCTGATTTGAGACAAGGTATCGTTTAGTCAAAGCTAAAATTGGCATTTCTTGATTGTATTGCACTGTGCCCTGCTCCTTTGAACATGTGTCTGTGTGTGTGTGTGTGTGTGCACATGTAAAAGCAGGTGTGTGCAGACATACTTGTACAGGCAGGCAGGGCGAGAGGGGAAGGAAGCATTTTATTGCAAATCCTTTCTCAACTCACAGCTCTGGTCAGCTGAAAGGAGCTGTAAGCATGCAGCTAATAAGGACAGTGAAGCAAGACACCCCGAGAGCTCTTGCCTTTGCATGTTGAGGGTAAGGTAGCTGTGAGTGACATACACTCATGCACAGATTTTGCACAGCCAGTGGGGGGAATTAGGGCCACAGTTAATAACTGCAGCATGTCCTCTCCCATGGCTTTCAGAGGAAAAGCCAATGATTGAGTATTGTCTACTGCATTCCTGGGTGGTGTGGCTACACCTGTGGCATTTTGTACCTGTAAAATACAGACAGGTTTCTAGGCCAACACACAGGGCTGATCACTGGACCAGCTGGAGCATGCAGTGTGGTTTCCTGCTCCATTCTGGTGTGTATTCTCCTCCCAGGAAACAACCATTTGTTGCAGCCC